CAGCTGGCTAGACAGCTAAAAAGAAATCTGCTTTATTAAAGCAAAAGATTCTTTTCAAAAAAAGAAAAAGCAACTTTATAAAAGTTGGTYGGCTACTAGGACCGAAAGTAATATAATTTGACAAAAATGTCAAAAGGCTACTTACTTTGCTTTATAGAGTCCTTRAGGGMCTCCAGGGCATCTTCAATGGAGATAGCCAGCTCTTCAGAGCCTTCTATGCTTTGAGCATCTTGCTGTATGTCGGAGTTCATTGAACTGTCTGAAGGTTGAGAAAGGTTTTGATGGAGATCCTTCTTCATGTTCTCTATGTATAGATCAACAATCTCGTCTTTGGACAAGGTACCAGCATATTTCTGGGAAAGTTGCTGGAAAGGACTCGGAATCTCCGGGCTTGTGTTCTTCTGTTGRCGAACTTCGAAATCTTTCTTATAAATCTGAATTTTCTTCGAAATGGAGTCATAAAGATCAGCTCCTTCAAGAGTAGAGGATTTTGGACACATGCGATCTAACTTCTCCCAATATTTTGAAAGGCCTTGACGCTTGAGGCAAGGAATCATATTATGATCATAGCCAAATATTGGCTTCCATTTCCAAATCCAAGGGATGCCAAATTCGATAAAAAAGAGGCAAACATTACTGCTATCAATTTGATAGAGTTGTTTACAGTCATTGACTGTTGGAGAATATAACATCCAATCTTTTATAAAAGATTTCATATGATCAGGAAAAATAGATGAACTAGTTCCAAAATTTTTCCACCAAGAGAAAAACCAATTAGGAATTGGAGAATGAAAACAATTTTCACAAATCTTTAAGAACCAAGAATGTCTTTTGTTCTCATTATCATAAAGTAGAACTTTAGATAAACCATGGATATAATCCCAATAATTGAATTTAAAATTGCATTTATGACTGGGAGAAAACCATTCTCTCTCAGCAAGAGGGGAAAAACCCCATTCTTCAAAAGATATAATCTTTTTAATGACAAGTTTTGAAAAACTAAAATTGCCATTTATTTCATCACTGCTATTAGAAGAATGATAAGAAAGAAGTAATCCTTCGTAAAATTGGCGTTGGCGTAAAGAGCCATGAACAAAAGATGTCTTATTAAGATATCTTTGAAGAATGAAATCAGGATCATTATTCCATCGAAGATCTTTATCTTCTAGAAGAAGTATAACTTCTTTTTCATCGGTTTCATGAAACTGAGAGTTGGAAGAGTCTTCCTTGCTAATATTAGCATAAGAATTTGAAGCTGCCAAAGATTCTTTGGCCTTTTTTTCCTTAATATAATTAAGGTATGCCTCTGCAAGAGGATGGTCTTCTGGTATATCATCCAAGAAGCCTGGAATCTCTTTTTCCTTACCATGTGATAAGTCAGAAGCTATAAGCTTTTGTTTACCAATCTGGGCTATTACATTATTTCCTCTTCCCCTATTAGAGGAATGTCGACCACCTCGACCTCTTCCATAGGAAGAGCTGCCAACTCCTCTATAAGAGGAGTAAGAACTGTACGAGCTCATGCAAAGCACATCTGATGTATCTTCAAAGTACCTGAAAGGAAAGTCAAGAGAGATATTCACGGGTTAAAAAATCAGGCAAGTGATTATCTTTGCCTTTAATGTGCTGGATATTGAAATCAAAAGGAGCAAGATGGGCTTGCCATCTGGCAAACATCTGCTTAGAAACATCATGCTTAAAATCTTTTTGAAACATAAATTGAGCAGAGCTACAATCAGTTTTTATTAAAAACTTTTGATTATATAAATCATCCTGGAATTTAAGAACACATTTGACGATAGCAAAATGTTCTTTAACTACAGCAGAATAGTTGAGTTGGGCATTTTTCCATTTACCAGAATAAAAACGAATAAGATACTCCTGTTTAGAAATAGGATCAATTTGTTTAAGAATACCGCCATATCCTAAGTTAGAGGCATCAGTCTCAACAATCTTAGTCCAAATAGGGTTAGGAAGCATAAGACAAGGAAGGTTTTTAACCTTTTTCTTAATTTCCTGAACTGCTAAAGTATGATTATTAGTCCAAGAGCAAGATTTTTTCTTAAGTCTATCATAAAGAAGAGAAGTATATTGACTTAAATCTTGAATGTAAGCAGAAATATAATTTAGACTGCCTAAAAACCTTTGTAATTGAGTTTTATCAAGAATTTGGTCAGGAAATTTATCACCGAAAGCAATACTGMGCTGGATAGGAATAATTGTTCCTTTTTCAATGTCATGACCGAGAAACCTAATCTTAGTTTGAAATAAGGACATTTTAGGTTTAGATATGACTAAACCATTTTGAATAACAAGAGTCTTGAAAATGTTAAGATGTTTGAAATGACTCTCAATATCTTTAGAAAAGACTAAAATATCATCTATATAAACAATGATAAAATTGCTGTAAGGATAAAAGATGTCATTCATAATTTGTTGGAATTCGAAAGGCGCATTTTTAAACCGAAAGGCATAACTTTCCATTCATAATGTCCCATAGGAACATTAAAAGCTGTTTTATAAATATCGTTTTCGGCTATCTGAATTTGCCAATAACCAGATTTTAAATCAAATTTTGAAAAGATGATAGCTTGGAAAAGACGATCAAGAAGATCCTTCTTGTTAGGGATAGGATGTCTAATCCATTTTAAAACCTTGTTAAGGGGTTTATAATTAATAACTAGACGAGGGATACCTCGTTCCTG